TTTCCAGTAAAAAGGGTCTCCGGTTCTCTACACTCACCATACGAAATACAGCAGCATTAAGCTACTATTTCACGCTGGTATTCTGTGAGAGCGTGGTCCTTCCCCGGTCGAGCCGACCCATTCGACTATATCGATTCGATTCGAGAGTAAGGACTTTTTGCTTAGTTTAACAGGAGAGCAGCGAAAAATAAGCCTGGAAAAGTTTATTTACATCAAATTACTCATAATACTGTAAGACGTTAATTTTATTTAGTTATTTTTAAGTTAACATATCTTTCGCCCTACAAGTGTTTTAATCTTTCTGTAGAGAAGACTTTTTTTAAAGAATCACGGTGATAAACGATCACACAAAACACATCAACATCACATCACATCAAAGTTAAACGCATCGCGGATTGAATATTTTTTTTTGTGCAGCCACTACACTTCGTCCGCCAAACGCGACGATGAGTTGATAATGGCCACGGGGTTGACAAGCGCAGTTTTCAATTATTTTGTGTGTTTATATTTTTATGTAGGTAATTACTGTTTGATTTCCCATTCTTGCTTCTTGCGATACCAATGAGATAAAATGGGTGCCTTGATATTCGTTTTGAAAGGGAGACATTTGAAAAGAGAAATTTTAATTTATTACACCAAACAACAAAGAGTTAGATAAAGAATATTGATTTTATTTAATTCAACAGATTGTAGTGAGTTTAGAAAAATCTTAAATAATGCATAGTTGTATCGCTATTTTGTGGACAATCACTTCGATTGGATTTTCTTTAACACCTCTTTTGTAATTGTTATGAAGGACCGTTTTTTTTATAGAATAAGGGTGACAAACGAGCACGCAGTCCAACCGATGGTAAGTGGATGCTGTGGCCCATAGACATCTACATCTATCCTCGATTAAGAATCAACACATAGATGCGTTGTCACCCCTGAGGACTAAGGTAGAATGCCTGTTTCCAGTAAAAAAAGAGTCTCCGGATCTCTACACTCACCATACGAAAGACAGCAGTATAAAGGTGATACCTCGACCTCTTATGTGGTAGAGCCATGCTGCAGTTATATTAGATGTATAGTTGTAGCACGAATGGCTCGGCTCGACCGGGGAAGGACCACGCTCTCACAGAATACCAGCGTGAAATAGTAGCTTAATGCTGCTGTATTTCGTATGGTGAGTGTAGAGAACCGGCGACCCATTTTACTGGAAACGAGGCATTCCATCTTAGTCCTCACAGGGTGACAACACATCTGCATTTTGATTCGTAATCGAGGATAGATGTAGATGTCTATGGGCCACAGCAACTACTTACCATCAGGTGGACTGTGTGCTCGATTGTCACCCTATCCTATAAAAAAAAAATTTGGTGGTTTTTCTATTTCACATATTTTTTATAGTTTTATAGATTACAAACCAAATTTTTGGTATGTAATTTTTGACTATATGACTTTGGATTGCATAAAGGAAAACACGATATCTTGAAATTTTCTAGATAGAAAAACAATCCAAAGTAGGCTCTAATTAGTTACATTTTTCCACGACACCACAATAATTTTATGAATACGTTCATGGAATTATTTTTAAGGCATAGTAAATAATCATATCTAAGTTCTCATAAACCATTTTTTAATCCATAACGTAGTTTTGTTAAAAAAAAAATAAAAATGTTGTTTGGCGCTTACTTAGTTTTTTCCGAGCGTGTGCTCGGTATAGTTATCTCATAATTTGCGTACTATAAAGTCATTGCATCACTTTCATTTTGACACTTCCTCAGTTGTCCGTGAGCTTTATTGACAAAATAAGCCTCGCCCCCAAAACTACGATTTACTTTCAAGGTATCCTCTTAAGCTGCTATTTTACGCTATTTTGTGAGAGCGTGGTCCTTCCCCGTCCGAGCCGACCCATTCGTACTACAACCACAATATAATTGCAGCGTAGCACCGTTACAGCTTGTTGAAAGTTCACTGCTGAACATAGGCCTCCCCCATAGATTTTCTCAAAGGGGTGTAGGTGGGTTGAAAACTGATATTTAAAAAAAAATTTGAGTTGTTATCAGAAATATGCTTCTGTTCATCTCCTAGACTATTTAAATATAAGTATGTTGTAAATTGTAATAGGCTCATGTAGTGCTAAGTAGTGCAGTGGCCAAGCGTTTGGTGGTGGAGTTGCAGGGTCGATTCGAATCCCGCATGAAATAATTATTTGTTTTGCATACACATGATAGTTTCAGAGCTGGATGTCTTTGTGTAATTTATGTATGCTAAACAACTCCAAGATACAGGAGAAGTTTCTAATGTGTGGGTAGTTTGAAAAAAGAAAAGAGAAAAGGTCTTTAAAACGACAGTAGTCTAAAAGTAAAGGATACGGACTGTGGAACTTACAAGACATGAGTCAGAGGACTTTACGTAACATATCCTAGAGAATATCGATAGGCCGGCTACTTTGCGTCTTTGCTAAACCAAAACCGGATCGAGGTTACCAATGAGCCTCCTAGCAAGCCTTTCCATTGACCCCAAAGCTGCTAGGTAGCAGTTTGCAGCACCTGCGGACCTGCGTTTTATATATACCTTGCAACTGCTTTGGTCCTGGACTCAGTGAATCGCTCGAGTTCAAGGTTCAAGGAAATCTCAATACTCAACAACCGAAGGCTGTCGGTGTATTTATTCAATTTATTTAAAGTAAACATGCAGCTATAGCGATACATAATCAGTGTTTAATTTGAGTTCTTATAAAAACCAGTAAAATTTTCGATAACTAATAATAACATACTTAATCATTGGGCAGAAATGCTGAAATACATTTTTTTATATGACATATTTTAAAGGTAAGGTGTAAGTTGTTTGATGGTAGATATAAATTTAAAAAAGTTCAAATTAAATATAGAGTAACCGATATAGTGATCGCGCAGCTTATAGTAATTGCCATCACATGCCTATCTAAAATATCATAACGTTGGTTATAGAAAATGCAGGCGTTAACAATAAATCGATTTCTTGCATAGTTAATCTTACAAGCAGGAATGAAAAAGGTCGGTTTTAGTTTAAGCTGCAGATCAATTCTAGGACCCTAAACCCCAAATAAACCCCGGGGAATAATAAGGACCTTTTACAGAATACCAGCGTAAAATAGCCGCTTAATGGTGCTATGTTTCTTATGGTGAGTGTTGAGAACTAGAAACCCATTTTACTGGAATCGAGGCATTTCATCTTAGTTCTCAGGAGTAACAACGCATCAGAATTTGGATTCTTAATCGAGGTTAAATGTAGATGTATATGGGCCATAGCATTCACTCACCATCAGGTGGACTGTGTACTCTTCACCCTGATTCTAAAAAAAAATATTTAGTAAGTCAACTACCGATCGCAAATTCAGACATCGTTTACCTTTTTAACCTTGCTTTTCTCTTCTAAGACTGTCGGTAAATTAGAAAGGCATATAACAGTTACCGTTGCCGTTATAGCATGTTAAAGTCTGCTGCTGAACATAAGCCTTCCCTACAGATCGCCTCATTGGAAGGATATTTGCCATAGTTGCCACGCTTGCCAAGCTTTTAGTACGTAATAGGAAGACGCTGACGCTCATCTCCGTGTTTGTTTTACTCTGTCGCCCGCTACGACAGCTACGGTACGATATCAGGCAGTGTACAGTCTTACACCATCGCTTCATAGCATGCATCCAGTATTAGCACGTTTACTTTTTATGATCATTGTTTTTTTCTATTCTGGTGTATCCATGTGGTTTTTAGTAGGTTCCTTTTTAATAAAGCGAAAAGATTTCTCAACGAACATAAGTATCGATCTCGGAAGCTTTAAAAATTGATAACGACGACGTACGACGGAGGGCGCGGGCGGTGACCATCCTGCAATAATATATTTAAAGGATTAGCCACGCGTCGCAATATCGCGCGAACCCCGTCTCCGACCGCGGCGCCCCGTCGTGTCCCCGCTATTCAAATAATGGAAATTATTTCCACATATGTGCACCTAAATAAATATAATTCTGTGATCATTATTGAACGCCCCGACACTTCTGTGGAGCTGTTTTCACTCGTTTGTTGGCGGTTTCAATGGGATACAACGTATGGTGTGAACATTTATCGGGGTTCCTTCAACGCCAGTTGATTTTGTTCCTTTTTTTAAATTATCTAAGTAACCTTTAATTATGAAGTTACACTTGATAAATAAAGATAAAACACCGAAAAGTTCGGAAGCACACACCTAAACAAAACCTATAAATAAAAAAGATTTAAGCGAATTAGGTGAACGTTTCATCTGCATACTTACGGCGGGCGTGCGTTCATGTGAATTCGCGAAATTTATGTTTCGTAAAACAAACGATCGTATATGGGGTGGAAACGTGTGTTTATGTTCACTTAACCGAGGGAAGAGGGTATTATTTACCATTTCGGGCGGCTAAACCCGCCACAGTGAGTGAGACGAATATCGCTGCCGGCGCGATATTTATTGCACTCGTTGATGGGGCGATTTATCGTGAAGTGTCGTCGACTATCGATCGCTGTGTGATTGACGCCCGCCATACATCAGTGCGCACGTATCAGCGCTAAGGCGGTATTATCACTAGCAACGGCTCTTCCAGACCACACATTCTAAACAACAATAACGCCCCACGAAAGCCTCCTCGTCAAGGCTCATTTATCGCCCGATCTGAGGTCCTCCCGTCCAATCGCGGCACTCATTTATCTTCATTCCGCGGCCGCAATTAGACGGGTCGTTGGCTGCGGTCGGGCGAGGCCCAGCCGCCTCCGATATAACTACGTGGTTCGCATAACCCGAAGCTCGCAAACTCGAAACGTCGCTCTGTCAACTTCGTAATGAGCAAAGTTAATGGCGAACCACGCAGCGCGCCGTCCACATTCTGAATCTAGTTAAAACTTCCACTCGCGTTGCAGATTTAATATTCATCGGTCACACTGGTTACATCGTCCCCAATACTAATTAGATAAATCAAATCTTATATAACTTGTTTGAATGCTTCTCGATTGTTACAGGTGTGGTTCAAAAATCGGAGAGCAAAATGGCGGAAACGCGAGCGGAACGCTATGAATGCGGCCGCGGCAGCCGCAGCTGATTTTAAGAACGGCTTCAGCACACAATTCAACGGCCTCATGCAACCTTTTCCGGACACAGACGCACTGTACTCCTCCTATCCTTACAATAACTGGGCGGCAAAAGTGCCAAGTCCGCTCGGCACTAAGAGCTTTCCATGGCCTGTAAACCCATTAGGGTCGGTCGTCCCAGCGAGTCACCACCAAGGTTCCGTGAATTGCTTCAACACAGCAACCTCAATGGGCGGCGTGGGGGGCGGGGGTATGGCGGGTGTGGGGAGTTCAGCTGGTGTAGGTGGTGGCGTAGCGCAGTGTCCGTACACGGCACCGCCGAACCCATACAGCATGTACAGGGCGGAGCCGTGTCCGGCGATGTCATCGTCCATTGCGTCGCTGCGGTTGAAAGCGAAGCAGCATTCCTCCGGGTTTGGCGGGAGTTATGGCGGGATGTCGCCGGTTTCGCGCGCTGGTTCGGCGCCGCTGGCCGCTTGCCAGTACGCGGCGGGCGGGGTGGGCGTGGCGGACCGCGTGCTCTGAGAGGAGGCGAGAGGCCGCGAGGAAGTGCGCTCGCCGCCGCCTCTCGCGCGCGCCTCTTAGTCTCCGCCCGCGCGCACCTCCGCCGGCCTCTACCGTCACCTCTGGGACTGGTTCGACTGACGGCTCTGCGCGCAACCAACGACACGCTAAATCATTGGCAATAAGAACCCAATCGATTCTAGATCGCATCTCTGTAAATATGTAGCTATATGTGTACGTATACCAAAGCGATGTGTGCAATTTTTACAAGCTTAATTGTAATTAGACTATAGTCAGCTCTTAGCCTATACTTAGGTTACGAATTGTTTTAAGTGTAAATAAAATAAAACTCCATAAGTTAATTTATTTGTATTTCTTTGGTTGAATGTAAAAAGGAAACAATTTTTATGTTGTGAAAAACACCCACCAATATTTTATTAAACTACTAATAATAACGTACATAATGCATCATGTATTCATTTTAGTTTTTCTTAAATTACATTAAAGTTCCTATACAATGTTTAACAAGAATAGCGTAGTAACCAGAATAGTTGAACAGTTAAGATTATTCATGACCCTTGCTTGACGGAAAGGGCAAGAGATTTTTTTAAACTGTATTGAAAACATGATATTTAATCATTGCTCAGTTCTGTAGAGAATTCATGTATTGCAAACATACGTTATATTAAAAAATTAAGATCTTTATTTAATTGAAATTATTTTAGGTAATCGTTATTGTTGCATTTTTTAATGATTACCTTGTTTATAAATATACCTCAGTATAAAAAATGAAGCAGGTCAAAATAGAAAACTTACGGGCTTAAACACCTAACTTTATTTAAAAAATATGTAGTAAATATAATAAGTTAGATAAATACAAAATTGCGAATAGACTTTTCCTTTTAAAAGGCTATTAACCTGGATGGAGCAATAATTGTTGCAGCAATAAAAAGCGACAGGCTTATTTAAAAAAAAAAACAATAGACGGATACAAACCGCCTCCAAATGAGATTAACGAAACCAGGATCTCATAATTTATTAAATATTTATTCAGGTGAAAAATGTAAATAAATGTATTTATAAATGTTTTATTAGAGTTATACGTTAAGTTTAAACAAACAAAAATACCCACTTCCGTGTGCCTACGACATCAATGAACGAATCCTAATATAGATAAAAAATGTAAATAAATAATTCGAATTGTTATTATAGCGAAATGATGAATTCGAGGTTTTCATTTTATACATATCAAACAAAATATATGCGATGATGAATGTTTACTATTATTTTGTAAATGTAATTAAGGGAAACCGATTGTTTTGTAATTTAAAAAACCTCTAGTCATAATAAAAGATATCACTGAGCATTAAATAGTTTTATTTCAATTGATCAATCGATGTTTAAATATTATTTGTTCACAAGAAAAGAAGCTCACGAGAAAAATGAAAAAATTTGGCCGTTTATATCTTTCCATACGTTTAGAACTTGTTTTACTTATATAATAGGAGGTAAACGAGCACGCGGATCACCTGGTCGTAAGTGACTACCCCCACCCATGAACATAGCGTAGGCTCCTTGAAGGTCCCGAAGTCGTATCAGTCCGGAAAAATCTCTGTTGTTAGCCGATTCCACGAAGAAGTTTTGCGTGGAATAAAACTTTTGGTAAATCGCGTAGTGTTCAGCCGCCAATGGGGTTTTCAAGGCAAATCTGGTAAGCTTTTGATAAGCTAAGCACTTTATCATCTTCAGCTCCATCAACATTACCATCAAGTTAGACAGTAGTCAAGTCAGTCAACTCATACAAAACAACGTCCTCAACGTCTGAGTCCTCGAAAACCCTATGAAAAAATACATATATGTATATTAATCTGAAACTGATATGCTCTCAGATTAATATATATATTTTTATATGTTACAATAGGTTGCAAGTAAAAAGAAGTTTGTTTAGTTTGTCATTTTTTTGAAATAGAAGTTTTTTTTTTAAATAATATAAGGGTGACAAACGAGCACACAGTCCACCTGACGGTAAGTGGGTGCTGAGGCCCGTAGACATCTACATCTATCCTCGATTAAGAACCAAAATGCAGATGCGTTGTCACCGCTGAGGGCTAAGATGGAACGCCTCGTTTCATGTAAAAAGGGTCTCCGATTCTCTACACTCACCATACTAAACACAGTAGCATTGGTATACTATGTTACCAGTACAAGCGTAAAAACGCTGGTATTCTGTGAGAGCGTGGTCCTGCCCCGGTCGAGCCGACCCATTCGTGCTACAACTATACTACTAATATAACTGCAGCATGGCTCTACCACGTAAAAAACTTGTAGTGACAATTCACCTGATAGTAAGTGGCAACTGTTGCCCATGGATAACTACAACCGACTTGAAACAAAGGAGGCTACAGATGCGTTGCTCCCTCTGAGGGCTAGGAGGGAATGCCTCACAGCATGTTCTCATACTAGACCTCAATATAATTCAGACCGGAATACAGCAATGCTACCACGAGTGCTAAAAATCGATCGATGTTTCACTTAACCGAATGTAATCCTTTAAAGCCATGGACTTTGCAGCACAAACTTCAGGTATAAATTCAGATATTGTAGATTTTTCCAACCCTGTGGACTGCTGATAATGTGTATAAAGAATCTGCGACAGCTAAATATTTCAAAATAATTTCCAGTTTTACTTTAGCTGGAATAGCATCTCGTATACAAGTGTTTCGTTTTTGTATGACGCTTTCAATTTTAGAAAGTAGTTCATCAAATTTGAGCGGGAGTATACGCAAATCATTTTTATAACTGTCGAGATCTTCGCTTCGTGTCTTTGCCAACAATCGAATATGAAGAGCAACCCCTCACCTATTTCTGTCAAGTATATAACCTGATGGATGCCTAGGTAAAGAAGAAGACCTATCGCGTAGTATTTTTTGTATTTATAAACATGGAAATAAAATGCGCAATAAGTTACAGCATCAAGTCGTCCCACTGCTGGGCACAGGCCTCCTCTCATTTCTGAGAGATCAGTATATCTATTTTAAAGCATAGTGTTGAGAAACGAGCACACAGTCCACCAGTGGATGCTGTTTGTCAACAAATATTTTTATTCTCAATTAAAAATCACATCGCGTTTCACCCCTGAGGACTAAAATGGAATGTCTACATTCACCATACGAAACACAGCAGCATTATCCTGTTATTTACGCTGATATTCTGTTAGAGCGTGAAGATTCCCTGGACGAGCCGACTTTTTCCTGCTGCAAACATAATATGGCATGAATGGCTATAATGTAATCTCTTTTGAGAACCACATCAGTCCATTTTGTTACCAGTGGCAACAAGTCTCTACAGGCTATGGTGCAAATACACGGTCACGTCTCAGATTTATATTTGTGCCACTTTGTTTTTATTTTATTCGCATTTTATTTTCAGTTCAGCAGCCTCAGTTTCATGCCTCGGTAGCGCATTATATAACAAAGGTTACTGTAATACATATTAATAGCCTTTAAATGAAAAACGTTAAGCTCTTAAATAAAGAGTTACCACGGCTCTTCAATATGTGTAATAGTTTTTAGTTGGTGATAAGTGTTTGCTGTGGCCCATAGAATTCTACATCTATCCTCGATTACGAATCAAAACGCAGATGCGTTGGCAATCGTGAGAAGTAAAACGAAATACCTCGTTTTCAGTAAAAAGGATCTCCGGTTCTCTACACTCGCCACACGAAACACAGCAGTGTTAAGCTGCTATTTTACGCTAGTATTATTCTGTGAGAGCGGTGGTACTTCTGCGGTCGAACCGACCCATTCGTGCTACAGCTATACTTCTAATATAACTAGCATATTGTCTAGCAGTCTTAATATTTTTTCTCGTTAAAGTTAAAGCTACAGCCTACATACGGCCCACTGCTGGACGCAGGCTTCCTCGCGTGGCGCGCCGCCCCATTGCGTGTTCGCGGACTTCACAAGACATGCAGGTTTCCTTACGATTTTTCCTTCACCGCCGAGCACATGGTAAATTAAATCATAAAATAGCAATTAACTATTTCGTTGGTGTCAGCAGGGATCGAACTTACAGCGAGCACTAATCCTCTGAGCTACCACGGTACGGCTCTTCTTTTCTAGTAAATTCATATAAAAACAGGTAAAAAATTAATAAGAATATAAATAATTTATAAACCGGTGATTCATACTTTAACTGTACTTTTTTTTTAAGAATTAAAACGATTTGTAACAATAATAAATCACGATCCGGCACATGTCAATGTGTGAACGAGCTGTGAAATAGTTTCCGATATTATCGCGAGACTAGTGAGTAGAGAGAGCGTCATGTTCTAGGTGGTCTTGTACTACCAATCTTCAGTCGGGAAAGGCCTGGTTCAAACAGTCCTCTCTTGATGGCGTCAAGCTTCTCTCTCAGCAAATTTTAAATTGTTTGTTAATTAAACTTTTGGAAACGACAACTGGACATCTTAATTAGTGCCCTGGTGGAAGCGGCGTCGATGAGTTCGGGCTGCACGGACTTTCATGTAAGAAAAGTGTTGGTAAGCTGTCCCGTCTCTAAACGATGTTATCCGAAGAACTCTTGTCTTCATAATATTCCCTCCGATTTAAAGCCTTTTGAGACGATGGCAGGATACCCGACAGTACGACATTAGTCCCTCGGGAGAGTGGTGAAGCTCTAGAGTGGGATGCTACCGCTGTAGTTACTTACTTACTTATTGTAGTTACTTTGTTAGCCTTATCCCACCTTGCTTATCTAGTTTAGAGCCGAGGCGGCATTGGAACTGAGAGACTGAGATATAACTACATATTAGTGCCATTTACTGTAGAGACTGTTGGTAAGTGGGTCCAATTACGGTGAAGTTCTTAAATGAACTATGTCCGCGACTTTTTAAAACTCAAATTCAAATTCAAATTGTTTATTGCATGTCACATTACAAATTTAAGATGGTACAATTTTGATCGGTATACATGTGACGCCCCGCAAGGGCATAGCAACACTAGAGGGCTAACTATTTTCGT